GGTGGAGCTCCCTATGGAGCCACGAAACGTGTGAGGGGTGTGCCGAAATGGGTGTGGGGGACGCATGCGGCCGCGGGCACTGGGGCCTTCGGTGGAGCTCCCTATGGAGCCACGAAACGTGTGAGGGGTGTGCCGAAATGGGTGTGGGGGACGCATGCGGCCGCGGGCACTGGGGCCTTCGGTGGAGCTCCCTATGGAGCCACGAAACGTGTGAGGGGTGTGCCGAAATGGGTGTGGGGGACGCATGCGGCCGCGGGCACTGGGGCCTTCGGTGGAGCTCCCTATGGAGCCACGAAACGTGTGAGGGGTGTGCCGAAATGGGTGTGGGTGACGCATGCGGCCGCGGGCACTGGGGCCTTCGGTGGAGCTCCCTATGGAGCCACGAAACGTGTGAGGGGTGTGCCGAAATGGGTGTGGGTGACGCATGCGGCCGCGGGCACTGGGGCCTTCGGTGGAGCTCCCTATGGAGCCACGAAACGTGTGAGGGGTGTGCCGAAATGGGTGTGGGTGACGCATGCGGCCGCGGGCACTGGGGCCTTCGGTGGAGCTCCCTATGGAGCCACGAAACGTGTGAGGGGTGTGCCGAAATGGGTGTGGGTGACGCATGCGGCCGCGGGCACTGGGGCCTTCGGTGGAGCTCCCTATGGAGCCACGAAACGTGTGAGGGGTGTGCCGAAATGGGTGTGGGGGACGCATGCGGCCGCGGGCACTGGGGCCTTCGGTGGAGTTCCCTATGGAGCCACGAAACGTGTGAGGGGTGTGCCGAAATGGGTGTGGGTGACGCATGCGGCCGCGGGCACTGGGGCCTTCGGTGGAGCTCCCTATGGAGCCACGAAACGTGTGAGGGGTGTGCCGAAATGGGTGTGGGGGACGCATGCGGCCGCGGGCACTGGGGCCTTCGGTGGAGCTCCCTATGGAGCCACGAAACGTGTGAGGGGTGTGCCGAAATGGGTGTGGGGGACGCATGCGGCCGCGGGCACTGGGGCCTTCGGTGGAGCTCCCTATGGAGCCACGAAACGTGTGAGGGGTGTGCCGAAATGGGTGTGGGTGACGCATGCGGCCGCGGGCACTGGGGCCTTCGGTGGAGCTCCCTATGGAGCCACGAACGTGTGAGGGGTGTGCCGAAATGGGTGTGGGTGACGCATGCGGCCGCGGCCACTGGGGCCTTCGGTGGAGCTCCCTATGGAGCCACGAAACGTGTGAGGGGTGTGCCGAATTGGGTGTTGTTGATGATGATGATGATGATGATGATGGGAGGGGGGAGGAGGCAGCGGGAGGAAGGAAGGAAGGAAGGAAGGAAGGAGAACGCGGGGCACCGTCTCTTCAAAACGAGGACCCAACACCACAGGATGGTTGGGAAAAACACAAGCGAAAACCCGTTTCCCGGGAATCCTGTGTGCAAAAAACAATACGCGGGGGGGTGTCGGATATCTTCGGGACGCCATCAGGGGAAGTGGGAGAGTATTTTCATATCGTGTAATTGTGGAGGAGGAAGAGGAGGAGGAGGAGGAGGAGGAGGAGGAGGAGGAGGAGGAGGAGGAGATCGGGGGGGTGTCGGATATCTTCGGGACGCCATCAGGGGAAGTGGGAGAGTATTTTCATATCGTGTAATTGTGGAGGAGGAAGAGGAGGAGGAGGAGGAGGAGGAGGAGGAGGAGGAGGAGGAGGAGACGTTGGACGAGGAGCGAAGTCAGGAAAGAAGAGGAGCCTTGGAAGGCGGAGGATTGAGGGGGATGGGTAGGAGGAGTGAGGAGGGAGAAGGAGGAGGAGGAGAAGGAGGAGCAGGAGGAGCGGGAAGAGGGGAGGGTCTGGAGGGGAAAAGAAAGAGGAGGACAGGGAGGAAGAGAGGAGGAGGAGAGGAGGATGAGGAGGAGGAGGAGGAGGAGGAGGAGGAGGAGGAGGTAGGAGGAGGAGGGCAGGGGGGAGGGGGGGGGGGGGAGGGGGAGGGGGAGGAGGAGAGGGGGAGGAGGAGGAGAGAGGAGGAGGAGGAGGTGGAGGGGAGGAGTGGAGGAGGCGGAGGAGGAGGAGGAGGAGGAGGAGGAGGAGGCAGGAGAGGAGGAGGAGGAGGAGGAGGAGGGAGGAGGAGGAGGAGGAGGAGGAGAAGAGGGATGGAGGAGGCGGAGGAGGAGGAGGCGGAGGAGGAGGGGGAGGGGGAGGCGGAGGAGATAAGAGGAGGTGGAGGAGGAGGAGGAGGAGGAGGAAGGAGAAGTGACTGCAGCCTGAGGCGGGCACGTCTGTTCCTACCACGGTGGATGGCACCGCGCTGGCAGGGGAGGAGGAGGAGGAGGAGGAGGAGGAGGAGGAGGAGGAGGAGGAAGAGGAGGAGGATGAGAAGGAAAAGCAAGGACAGGGAGGAGCTTGGGAAGGGGAGGAGGCCTTGGGAGGAGGAGGATGAGGAGGAGGAGGAAGAGCTAGAGGAGGAGGAGGAGGAGGCGGAGGAGGAGGAGGAGGATGAGGAGGAGGATCGAGGCCCGAGGCACGTGCGCAGAGGGGGGGCACCAGAGGACGCGCCGAGGGAGCGCAAGGAAGGGTCTCGAAATGTTCGGGAGAAGTCGCGGCCCTGGCCATGGCAGCACACACCTCTGGGCCACCCCCCCCCCCCCCCCGACCCCCCTCCTGGACGCTTCCTGACTCGGGGCGACCGCGCTCGAGCGGGGACCGACCGCTCTCGTGCTCGTGTAAGCCTTCCACCACGCAGGCGACTTGGGAAACCCTGAACCCAAACACGGCTTCCTCTCTTGGGGGGGCATTGTTGTGCCTTCCGCGACCTTCCGCCGCCCTTCCGCCGTCGTCCGCCGGCGCGGGCGGCCTCGGTTTACTTCCTCGGACCTGCCGCCGCCTGCCGCCGCGGAAGAGAGGACAGCTCTCTCGGCCCTCGACGGCAAGGCCCCTTCCGGAACGCCCCACACGTCCGCAGAACAGAACGTGGGCTCATGCTCACCAAAAAAAGAAGTTCTCTGGACGCGCGTCAGGGCGGCGGAAGACCATAAACATCTTCATACGGAGCTCACGCTGGCAGGGGGGGAGGGGCAACGGAGCGGGGGCTCGCGAGCGGGGGGCCACGCGGTGTAGGGCCAGCGGCCAACACATATTGGAAGGAAACGATGGGGCACCGATTTCGGGGCTCGGGCAACGGGGGGCCGCGATAGGCCACCGACTACGGGGGCCCGAACTCTCTCACGAGGCGGGAGACACACACACATATATCTATACACAGATATATAGAGAGAAACCTAGCATGTATGTACATATGTATGTAGATACAGAGAGCATAGTATATATACATATATACAACTATTCATCTGTATGCACGGATTGTTATATATACATATATATATATATTCATACAGAACCGTTGCAGGTAGGCTGGTCACGGAATGCAGCTAATTATATGTAGAACCCGTTGCAGGGGAGCTGTTCACGGAATGCAAGTAATCACATCGAGCCGATGTCTCAAAACAACCATGCCTCAGCCAGAGGTGTTTCCAATAATACCCCAGTAAAATCACACAACAGTACCAAAACCATGGCTGGTGGGCCTGTAAACGAGCCAGGACGCACGCTTCGTCGATGCTGGGTGTGTTGCGATAGGCGATAGCTTGCTGGCTTCTGCCGCGGAACCGCAGTCAGTGCGAAGGTTGAGTCAAGCTCCGACGGAGGTACTCGGGAGGAACGAGGCTCTTGCGGTTTAGAGGGCTTTGGGCACCCTCGTCTTCAACGTCTTGAAAACATGAAGGCGAGTGCTAACATTCGAGGTTCCATGATCGAGGGTCGAGGAGCGACGTTTTTAGAACGTTGGGGTTACCTTTCCAGGCCTCCAGGGGCTTCTCGACGCTACAGCTAGATCCGCCTCGCAATTCTAGTCCAACCGCACCCTGGACCCAGGGACAGGTTCGGACGTCCACCAGTTTCAAGGGGGTGGGCCCAAATCTCCAAGATATTGAACATGTCAATGCGACAATTTTCCCAATTTCCGCTTTCAGCCCCACTGGCCCGAACGCCCGGAAACTATAACCTGATATTGCCACGACCCCCGACCTGAAAATGGAGGTGGGGATGATTGCTGAGAGCGGCAGGGACATGGAAGGAGTGGCCTGTTGTGGGCTTGATTAGACGACGGGGAAGACGTCCGACGAAGAAATATGTATAATCGTGGTTGGTCTCTCGGGGGCTTCTGGGAGACTGTTTTGAGGCCTCTTGGGGGCAGTTTGGGGGCAGCATTTGGTTTTTTTGGACGCCTATTGGGGCCTCTTGGGGGCCTCTTGGGCGCTTCTTGGGGCCTCTGGGGGGCCTCTTGGGGTATCCAAGGGCTCTCTTGAGGCAGAAGGCTCGAATTTTCGGTTCCTGGTCCCGTTCTTGGGCCCCTCTTGGTGCGGTCTTGGGGCCCTCTTGGGCCGTCTTGGGCGTTTCTTGGGCCGTCTTGGGGCCCTCTTGGGCAGTCTTGGGGCCCTCTTGGGGGCCTCTTGGGCCATCTTGGGGCAATCTTGGAGGCTTCGTGGGCCGTCCTGGAGCGTCGGAAAGCCGAAAAGGCGCGAAGTCCAAAGTCCTTCAGAAACCTTCGTACAATTGTTGATTTTCACCTCTTGGGGCTCTCTTGGGCGGCTAATTGGAGGCCTCTTGAGGCGTCTTGGCGGCCTCTTGGGCTATCTTGAGCCCATCTTGGGCTGTCTTGACCGCTCAGTCGGCGACCCGTTACCCTCGTGGGTCATCTTGCGGACTCTCTTGGAGCCGCCCGTGCCTCCCGGAAGCGCGTCTGCAGAAATACGGCCGTCTTCCGCCGGCGTTCTGCGCGTGTCCGGGGCCCTGTCCGGGGGGTCCCCCCCCAGACCCCCCTAGGGGGACACACAACGGGAACCCCTCCGCCAGGTCGGGGAAAAACACCCTTGGTGGAAAACGGGACCTCGGGGAAGAGGTTGACAGGTCTGGGGGCCACGCATGCGACAAAAATACGACGTCGGAAGCCTGGGGATGAGGAGGAGGAGGAGCTGGAGCTGGAGCTGGAGCCGGAGCCCGCGCGGTCGATTCCGCCCTCATCGGGGTCCCGCCCACCTTCGGTGGCAACTAATGGGAGCCTCCCGTGTCATCTTGCTGGCTCTTGCGAATCGGCGCGAAACGACGCTAAACGATGCTAAATCGGCTCTGATCGACGCTGAATCGACGCTCCCTCGTCTATTACCAGACGCTAGCGCAGGAGAGTGCACTCTGGAGACGGAATTGCCAGCCATGCGACGTCCTGATTTTCAATGCGCCATGAGACATGCGAGCCATGCGCGGACCCCGGAAGTCCCGACCCTTTCCCCGGGACCGGCTCTTCCTCCTGAGCCGTTGTTTTATGTTCCCGAGGCCTGGCGAGTGCTTCCAGAGGCCGAACACTTCGAAGAACCTACCGCCCGGATTTTTCCACAACGCGATACAATAAAGGCCAGTTCACAAGAAACCTTCGACAAGAAACCCAACCCTGAGACCCCAGGACGTCCATTGATTTCTGGTGCGGGAACGTCACGCTCTCCATCGCAAACCATCGAAACCGAAGACACCCAGGGCACCCTGGAGGAAGCAGGATGTTTCTTGGCATAGGCCCCCACTGTAGAAGAAGAAGAATAAGAAGAAGAAGAAGAAGAAGAAAAATAAGAAAAAGCAACGTAAACATAAACTTTTGGCTCTCCGCGCTGATTTCTTGGATCCGCGCTGGGCCCCCCTGCGGCGCCAGAAGCGCCGCCGGGGGGGCCAGGTGCGAAGCCAAGAAATCCGCGTGGAGCGCCACAAAGTTGATGCTTGTGCGGCTTTTCTTCTCATTCGATGTCGCATGTCTGGGGCAAGGCTCCCATGATTCGCTACCGAACCCACCCCTGGGACCCAGACCCCCGACGCCATGATCTGTTCATAAAACCTCGACCCTCACGGGTCTCGACCCACTCCCCGGGACCGGTGCTTCATCCTGCGTCGTGCTTTGACGGCCCCGAGGCCCGGTAAGGGCCCCCCGAGGCCGAAAATATGGACAAACCTCCCGTCAGGATTTTGTCACTACCCGACGGGGTCTCGGGAGCGGCCGCTGCTGCAGGACGGCGCGCCCTCTCGGCACGCTCAGGGGCTGCCCCCGCTCCCTGCCTTGGGCGTGGCTTAATGGGGGGGTCATAAATGGGGGGGTCAAAAACGGTCCCCTTTCGTGCCCCTTTCGGGCCCCTCCGGAGCCTCAGGGGGCTCGTTTAAGTACCGTATGGGTACCTTTTCGGGCCACCCTCGCCACCCCCCCATTTATGACCCCCCCATTACGAAACGCCCAAACTGCCGCTCGGAGAGGGCGCGCCGGGCGAGACGGCCCCGCGCGCCGCGGGCGCGGGGCGCAGTCCCCCGACGCCAGGCATTTTGGCTGTCCTGCAGCGAGGGGGCCTTCCCTGCCTCTCCCTCCTCCTCCTCCTCCTCCTCCTCCTCCTCCTCCTCCTCCTCCTCCTCCTCCTCCTTCTCCTTCTCCCTCCTCCTCCTCCTCCTCCTCCTCCCTCCTCCCTCCTCCCTCCTCCCTCCTCCCTCCTCCCTTCCCCTCCTACCGCTCCAAACGAGAATTGGAGAGGCCGGGTTTGGGGCCCTTCTCGGCCTCCGGGGGCCCTCGCCGGGCCTCGGGAGCGCCAACAAACGACTCGCAGGAGGAGAAACCGGCCCTGTAGGGAAGTGGCTCGGGCCTGCAGGGCCCACGCATCGGAAACACTGTGCAGAGGCCTCCCAGATGGGTTCCGAGCAGATGGGGTCCGAGGACCTCGGCCATGCGCTGGCGACGTCGGCGATGCATCGGCGACGTAGGCGTGAAGCAAATGGGGCCCCACATCGAGCCGCATCGCTGATGCATCGGCGATGCGGCGCGAACCTCCGACCCCATCTACTCCGACCCCATCTACTCCGACCCCATCTGGGAGGCCTGTAGCGTCAGGTCGGGCCTGTCCCCCCTGCAGGGGGATTTTGGGCGAAAAACTTAAACACAGTCCCCCCAAAAAGACCTCCAAATCTGTCAAACATGCAACAAAATCGTCCCCTGACTCTTTGTTTGACTACTATTGGATATGCCTCCTGTCGAGGGACAAGCCCGACTCAAATCTGCTCCGACCCCAGCTGGGAGGCCTGCAGCGGCCGGGCGCCCGGGCAGGCCTCGGGGCCTCGGGGCCTCCCTGGGGAGCGGCCTCTCCTCCGGCAGCGCTCCGACGGCCCGCGGGGGCCCACCGTGGACGCCCACGGAAGCCCGAAGCGGCAGAGCCGTCCGCCGCGAGACTTCCACCCCAGACCCCCCTCGGGCAATCAAGCTGGGCGCGACTGGACTGCTACACGTGATCCTGGCGCCTGTCGGCGCGATGACGGTCTTCGTGCACAGCAACCTCCACGAGTGGGCCTACCTCTCAGGAAAGGTGTTCCACATCAGCGTGCGCGCAATCCAAAAATCATGACGGGAGGTGTTTCCATATTTTCGGCCTCTGGAGGCCCTTACCGGGCCTCAGGACCGTCAAAAAACGACTCGGGATGAAACACTGGTCACGGGGAATGGGTCGAGACCTCTCAAGGTCGACGTTATGAGCAGGATCATGACGACGGGGGTCTGCGACTATACTTTCCGCAGCGCGGCCGCCCACCTCTAACTATAGCGGCGCCGAAGTCCCCCATCCCCGAACAGACGATACACGAGCGGAGGCCGCGATGTACACACGCTGTTCCCGCGAGGCGTGGAGGAGCTTGGGAGGAGGAGGAGGAGGAGGAGGAGGAGGAGGACGAGGTGGAGGAAGAGGAGGAAGAGGAGGAGGAGGAGGAGGAGGAGGAGGAGGAGGAGAAGGAGACTATTTGGTACGATTGCTTAATCGCGTAGCGATTGGATTAGGCCGCCGCGACCCCACTGTGGGTTGCTTTGCTCCTCTGGGCACGCTCAGCTCGACTGAGAACTTTGGGCCAGAGATTGACAAGGCCAGATCATTGGAAGCCCGGAGCAGGGGCCAGGCGTGGCCATGGGGCTCACTGCTTCAGCGCGCCACCAGCCCCCAGGCCTCGCCCTGGACGGCGGCGGGCTGGTGTACCGCCCGCGGCGGCCCGCCGTGCGCGAGGAGGCCGTGGTGCAGCGGGAAGCCGCCCGCTGGCGAGGCGCTGCTGGGCAGCAGCACCTGCGGCGGCCCCGCCGGCGCCAGCACCGCGGCGCTGGGGGCGTAGCCGAAGCCGGTCCCGGGCGCCGCTTGCCCCACGGCCTGCGGCGCCAGCGGCAGCGGCGGCGCAGGCGCGGCGCCGGCGCTCGGCGCCGCCGCGGCCGCGTGCCAGCTCGCCTGGATGGCCTGCGCCGCCTGCGCTGCCTGCGCCACCTGCTGCAGAGCCGGCGCCCTGGGGCGGGGCGGGGCGGCGGCAAGCGGGGCCTCGGCGGGGGTCCTCGAGGGGGGGTCGATCAGTGTCTGCCGGCACCGCTGCGCCCCGGACCTCTCCAAGGGGCGCGTGCGGGCCAGGGCGTCGTCGACGGAGTATCTCTGGCGGTGGCGGTGGGGGGCTCCCGGGAGGTCCGGCGGCGGCGCAGGCGAGGCAACGGCAGCGGCATCGGTGCCCAGACATGCGATGTCTTGCACTGCGATGTGCAGAGCCCGGACAGCGGGGCGCCAGAAAGGCCTTTTCCAGCACACCCTTTGTGGAGGCCTCTTGAAAGATATTGGGAAGAACTTCGAAAGAAAACTTCTGGGCACAAGTGTTCGGAAACAGTGAAAAACGGCCTGTCGGGATAAGCTAAACGCTCACAGGAGGCGCAGCGGAGCTGCTTGACCGACGCCAGAACGAGCTCGAGGGCTACCCTGCGCTGCCGGCTTCAAATACGAAACCCTCGTAGCTCTCTACGAGCTGTGTATCCTGGATTTTGTCCCAACCCTCCCGCGTTGGGTTCTCGGATTTGATAAAGCACTGCGGTCGCACGCCACCCTTCTCCTCCTCTCCCCTCCTCCTGCCTCCGCCTTCGCTGATCCCGAGAGGGCTGCGAACTGCGCAACTGTCGCCTCTTCCGCAGGCTCCTTGGAGGCACGGCGGAATAGCAGCTCTTTGGGAGGCTGCGACCTGTGCATTTGTCGCCGCTTTCAAAGGCTCCTGGGAGGCATGGTGAAGTCGAGGAGTACACGGACCCAGCCGAGACCTCGCATCTCCCTGTGGGAAGGCGAGTTTTGGGCAACTGTCGCCACTCACGCGAGCTCCTTAGAGGCACGGCGGAATAGGGGAGTAGACGCAACCGGTCGACCTCGCAGCTCCCTGGGGGCTGCGAGCTCTGCAGTTGTCGCAGCCCCCTGGGGGCTGCGAACTGCGCAGCTGTCGCCACTGTCGTGGGCTCCTGGGAGGCACGGCGGAATATAGGGGAGTAAACGGACCCAGCCGAGACCTCGCAGCTCCCTTGTGTGCTACGAACTGTGCAACCGTCGCCACGTGCGTGGGCTCCTGGGAAGCACGACCAAGTAGGGGAGTAAACGGACCCAGCCGAAACCTCGCAGCTCCCTGGGAGGCTGCGAACTGCACAATTGTCGCCACTTTCGTCCTGCCTCCTCCTGCGCTGTTCTCTGGGAGTCTGAGAACTGCGCAAGTGTCGCCGCTTTCGAAGGCTCCTGGGAGGCACGTTGGAAATCGAGGAGTAAACGGACCCAGCTGAGATCACGCAGCTCCCTGGGGGACGGCGAGTTGGGCATCTGTCTCCACTCACGTGAGCTCCTTGGAGGCACGGCGGAATGGGGGAATATACGCAACCAGCCGACCTCGCAGCTCCATGGGGGGCCGAGAACTGCGCAATTGTCGCAGCTCATTGGGGGCTTGGAACTGCGCGTTTGCCGCCACCTTCGTGGGCTCGTGGGAGGCACGGCGGAGCAGGGGGAAACATACCCAGACGAGACCTTGGAGCTCGGTGGGAGGCTGCGAACTGCGCAGCTGTCGCCACTGTCGTGGGCTCCTGGGAGGCACGGCGGAGTACGGGAGTAAACGGACCCAGCCGAGACCTCGCAGCTCCCTGGTGGGTTGCGAATGTTGCAACCGTCGCCACTTGCGTGGGCGCCTGAGAGGCACGATTAAGTAGGTGAGCAAACGGACCCAGCCGAGACCTCGCAGCTCCCTGGGAGGCTGCGAACTGCGCATTTGTCGCCACTTTCGTCCTGCCTCCTGCGCTGGTCCCTGGGAAGCTGAAAACTGCGCAAGTGTCGCCGCTTTCGAAGGCTCCTGGGAGGCACGTTGGAAATCGAGGAGTAAACGGACCCAGTCGAGACCTCGCAGCTCCCTGGGGGACCGGCGAGTTGGGCATCTGTCGCCACTCACGTGAGCTCCTTGGAGGCACGGCGGAATGGGGGAGTATACGCAACCAGCCGACCTCGCAGCTCCATGGGGGGCCGAGAACTGCGCAATTGTCGCAGCTCACTGGGGTCTGTGAACTGCGCGTTTGCCGCCACTTTCGTGGGCTCGTGGGAGGCACGGCGGAGCAGGGGGAAACATACCCAGACGAGACCTTGGAGCTCGGTGGGAGGCTGCGAACTGCGCAGCTGTCGCCACTGTCGTGGGCTCCTGGGAGGCACGGCGGAGTACGGGAGTAAACGGACCCAGCCGAGACCTCGAAGCTCCCTTGGGGGTCTGCGAACTGCGCATCTGTCGCCACTTACGTGGGCTCTTTAGAGGAACGGTGGAGTGGGGGAGTAGACGCACCCAGCCGAGAGCCCGAAGCGTCCTGGGGGGCTGCGATCTGCGCAGCTGTCGCCACTGTCGTGGGCTCCTGGGAGGCACGGCGGAGTACGGGAGTAAACGGACCCAGCCGAGACCTCGCAGCTCCCTGGCGGGCTGCGAACTATGCAACCGTCGCCACGTGCGTGGGCTCCTGGGAGGCACGACCAAGTAGGGGAGTAAACGGACACAGCCGAGACCTCGCAGCTCCCTGGGAGGCTGCGAACTGCGCATATGTTGCCACTTTCGTCCTGCCTCCTCCTGCGCTGTTCCCTGGGAGGCTGCGAACCGTGCAACTGTCGCCATCTTCGTGGGCTCCTGGGAGGCACGGCGGAAAAGGAGAGCAAACGGACCCAGCCGTGACCTCGCAGCTCCCTGGGAGACTGCGAACTGTGCAATTATCGCAACTCACGTGAGTCTCTTAGAGGCACGGCAGAGTAGGGGGTAGACGCAACCAACCGAAACATTGTTGCTTCCTGGGTGGCTGCGAACTGCGCATTTGTCGCCATCTCCGTTGGCTCCTGGGAGATCCAGCGGAGTCGGGGGCCACGCGGAACCAGTCGAGTCCTCGCAGCTCCTTGGGAGACTACGAACTGCACCACTGTTGCCCGTTTCGCGGGCTCCTGGGAAGCACGGCGACAACGAGGACAGCCCTGATCGTGCAGATCTGACGAGGTGCTGTTGTTTTTTTGTTTTTCCTGCATGGGAGTTCGTAAAGAGATTCGCCGCGCGTGGAAAAGGGGTGGGGTACGTCTCGGGCGATGTTGGTACGCGGTCCCCCGCAGTCCCGACCCGTTCCCCAGGGCCAGCTTTCCATCGCGAGCTGATACGTGACGGTCCCGTGGGCCCGGTGAGGGCCCCTGGAAGCCGAAGACGACGAAGAAAGTCGCCCTGCTTGCTGCAAGACGGTGGATCTCTGGGTGTTCTTCTCTTGCGGGCAATGTTTACATCCACACCCAGCGCGTCTTGGATATTCTTGGCGGGGGCGCCACAAGGCAGAGGCGCACTGGATATGGACAAGCATCGAGCCTCCAGGGGCCAGATTTTTACCCATATCCAGTGCGCCTCAGGTGCCTGGGGAAGGAAGGCCAGAACTCCAAGCTGCAGTGGATATGGACACAAGCTTGCCCGCATCTCTTTGGGTGACCCAAAAGGGAGTCCAGCTGAAAAGGGGTGGTGCAATGGACTTGGGGCAATTGGATTGCCCATGTACTGCGCCGGAGAATCGTACTGCATTGCGTTGCAAGTAATGCGTTGCACGCGAAGGTCCAGCAAGACATCTGCGCCCCGGAAGGTGTTGCACGCCCCAGGTGTGCACCGCGCCTCCACAAATCTGCTGCACCAGATCTACTGCGCCACCCCCTTGTCCCTGGACCCCCTCCCCAGAAATCCGACGCCGTGATTTTTTCAATACGCGGTCCCCCAAAGTCTCGACCCACATTCCCCAGGACCGGGTTTTCATCCCGAGTCGCTTTTGGACGGTCCTGGGGCCCGGCGAGGGCCTCTAAAGGCCGACAAAACTCGAGAGAAAGACCTCCGTCTTGCTTTTTGTCCATGCGTGGGAGGTCTGGGTCCTGGGACCCGCCCGCCCATCCGCTGGAGGAGAACGAGGATAAAGAAGGGGTGGAGGAACGAGGATAGGGGGAGACATAGGACGAATAGGATGGGGAAGAGGAAGAAGGGAAGGAGGAGGAGGAGGATGAAGAGGAGAAGGACGAAAGGGAAAGGCAGATCGAGCGGAGGATGAGCATGAGTTGGATGTCGATGAGGTCCTGGGCCGCCGCTGCCGCCGCTCGCGGGGCTGCTGCTGCCAGCCCGGCGCGGCGTCGGGCCGCCGTCCCGCGGGGCCGCCCTCGGACCCGTCGTCGGCCGCGGCGCTCGGCGGCGCCCAGCCGCGGTCGGCGGAGGATCGCGCCTCGGGCGCAAGAGGGGCACCGCCGCAGCGAGGCGGCGGCCCGCAGCAGCAGAAGACCCAGAGACCCAGAGATCCAACGTACGGTCGAGGCGTTGACCCAAGGAACCCTAGATAAGGAACGAGGCCCCTATTTTTCCATCAGTTGAACCTCGATTTCCGATCGAAAGCATAAGGAAAACCTGAGGCAAGCTGTGAAACACTTAAGGAACACGGAGCCCCTCCCCAACGAAAAGGGTTCCTTCTTCAGGGCCCCGACTGTATTGAAAAAATCAAGACGGAGGTTTTTCGCCGATTTCGGCCCCTGGGGGTCCTCGCCGGGCCTCGGGACCGTCCAAAAACGACTCGGGATGGAAAGCCGGTCCTGAGGAATGGGTCGTGACTTCAGGGAACCCCGTAATGAAAAAATCACGACATCGGATCTCAGGGGATCCGCCGCTCCCCCAAAGACAGAGGGTGACTTTCGACCTCTGGGGGCCCTCGCCGGGCCTCGGGAGCGGAACAAGATACGCATCACGACAAGAGGGGGATGGACAGAGGCCCCCTTCAGTAAAACGTGGCTTAGTGAAACCGACGGCCGCGGCGCCCGCTCGAGAACCGAAAACGGACACTCCACCAATCGACGTGTCAGGGTGGGGTTTCTGCCCACCCCCGAGAAGAACCAGCCCCGGGGAAGTGGTCCGGACCTCCGGGGCCCACGCATCGAAGAAAAAGTGGAGCCGCCGCATGTCTGGGTATACGTGCGTCGGGTCGTCGGGCCGCGGCGCGCGCGGGATCGCAGCGGAGGCGGGCCGGCCGCGCCGGGAGCAAGGCCATGGCCGTGCAAGCCTCGGGCAGCATCGGGACGTCGGAGCACCGGGAGCCGCCAGAAGCAACGGACGACCCTCCCCCCCTGTTCTCGGCGAAACTACACTATCGCTCCTCGCCCTGGGAAAAGCCACCCCGCCCCTGGTCGCACAGCCGACTGCATCGAACTCGCCATCGCTCGGACGTCCATTCCCTGTGCTTTTTTCGGTTCCGTGCGTGGCTTTTTCGCCAAATGAGCAAGGATGCTCCTCGATGGCCCTCGCCGAGAAAAAAGGGACACGTCCGAGCGATGCCAGGCGAAATGCGCAGCTCCCCGCAGTTGCGAACGAGGGTGACGGGGCGGGCGCGGGGTGGGTCGCGGGGTGGGTCGCGGGGTGGGTCGCGGGGTGCTGCGCGGGTGGCTCGCGTGTGGGTCACAGGGGGGTCGCGGGCGAGGACGACAACAGCGACACACAACAATCATTTTAAGACTGCTCGCTCCTACCATCTCATGTGCCATTCAAAAAGTAAATCCGGAACCTTCGGTACTCGCCCTCTTCGTTTTCGTTCGTGCCCCCTGGAGGGTATGTCTTCCTTACCTGCCACGTGTATGTGGCGCAGCTCTTGAAACAGAAGGAGAGAAGACAGACGGAAGGAAGGGGCAAGGGGGAGGGAGAGGGATGGAGAACGAGAGAGATTAGCAAGAAGGGGGCCCAGGAACAGAAACACGGCAAAACCAAACGGGCTGACCGGGCGGGTCAACCGTAACGAGCGGGTTGAGAAGGCGGGCCAAGGCAGCCAGCTCGTGCTGTGAGGAAGTATCAGGATGAATATAAGTGTCCCTTAGAAATGAGAATTCAGTGTGACGAGAAATGACGAGTCTTACGCGAGACAGCATCGTCTCTTTACACCGTGGTTGACGCAGGCCGCCAAGCCGGAGCGCCGCATTGGAAACGAGGGCGCTTAAGCGACCTTACGCGGGGCGGGGCGCTTATGCGCAAATGTCGGTGAAGACGACGCCGTTTTTCTCGGTCGCTCAGAATTGCACATCGGCGCGGACTCGGAGCAGAAGCTGACGGCAACGCCAGGGCGCACAACAAGACCATGACAATGAACGTCGGAACACCAGAGCCGAATCGGATCGGTATCGAGGTGGGCAACTGCCTCTCACGAGCGGCGAGCATATCCGCTCCGCGCCCAGGGGCATCCAAGAAAAAACGCCCCGCATCCGCGGGGTCGCGGCCCAGGGGCGCCGCCCACGTTGCCGCGGATGCGGATATGTTTTGGGCGTCGCTTGATGGGGGTAAGAGAGGTGCACTTCTCGGTCACAACTGGCCCCCTTGGGGGCCCCAAAGGGCCCTTTAAGGGGCCCTCAAGGGCCCCTTTTCTGCAGCCCTCGCTGCCCGCCCCCGTGTACCGCCCCCCCCCACGACGCGACGCCAGTAATCATTTTCTTCTGCCCACGAGCCTCCGCGGCCAGCCAGCGCAGCAGCTCCGCGTCCTGCGGCGCGCCGCCGCGGGTGTGCCTCGGCAGGCCCGCCGCCGCCGCCGCCCTCGGCGTCGCCGCCGTCCTTCCGCCATCCCCGTCGCGCTCGTCGTCGTCGTCGGCGTCGTCGGCGTCGTCGTCGTCGACATCGTCGCCGACATCGGCGGCGGCGGCGTCGGCGCGCCGCGGGCGTGCCTCGGCAGGCGCCGCGAGGCCGCCGACTCCGCCTCGGCGGCCAGGCGGCACAGCCGCTCCGCCTCCTGCGGCCGCGGGCCCCTCGCGTGCTCGCGCCGCGCCGCCGCGGGCGGCTCGGAGGCGGCGCGCCGGTCGCTCGCCAGCCGCAGCAGCGCCTCCGCCGCGCTGCGCCGGTCCCGGGCCTCGCGGCAGCGGGCCTCGAGCTCGCGCCGGCGGGCCTCCTGCTTTGAGGGCGCCCGCTATACACCCCCCACCTCATCTCGAAGAGAGGCAGAGGCGACAGAGAGAGAGAGAGAGAGCAGCAACGAGGCGAAGGGGCTGCACTTGTGCCCTGGTCCCGTGTGCGTGGTCTCTCTCTCTCTCTCTTTGCTGCCCCAGGTGCGCGCTCAGCAACTCACACGTGTGCGCGCCCTCTCTTAAGGGCTTGGGCGCTGGCCGACACCAGGGAACAGCACCTCCCCGCGCCGGCGGGCGGTCTTCGACAAGCTTCGGCCTCGAGGGGATTTCCGTCTGGCTCAGGAGGGTCAAAGAACGACTAGGGTCGAACAGACCGTCCCGTGGAAAGGGCCCAGACGTCCAGGGATCCACGTTGTGAAAAAGCCAGGAAGACTCGTGGGCGAAACACACATCCGTATCCGCGGCCTCGCGGGCCGGGGCCCCTGGGACGCGACCCCGCGGATGCGGAGCATTTTCACGAGGGCGCCCCGCGCGGAACGAATCCGTGCGACCTGCGCATCTTCAGGATCGCGCCCCAGAATCCAGACCACGAGGGCGCAGATGCGGATGTGCCTGCCGCCCGTGAACGTCACGAGCTCTGGGCACCAGGCCCGCCCTGGGCCTGGCATCGGCGAGTTGCCTTCCTGGCCCGGCCAGGGAGGCACACACACACGCACGCACGCACGCACGCACGCACGCACGCACGCACGCACGCACGCACGCACGCACGCACGCACGCACGCACGCACGCACACACACACACACACACACTAACACACACTAACACACTCACACACACACGGACCCTGGGCCCCAGCGCAGGCCCGGCCAGGGATGGCGTTTTGGCTTGCAGCCCACCCGCACCACGAGGACACACGATAGGGATGCCAGGGCCTTGGAAGGCCATGCCGGCACTTTGCGAGCGGGGCGCGGTCCGCGAAAGCGGCCAGGGACGGGCCGATGGGGAAGGGGGGGCGAGTACGACGAGGATGAACCGGGTGCAGACGCGGAGGAGGAGGAGGAGGAGGAGGAGGAGGAGGAGGAGGAGGAGGAAGACGAGGAGGAGGCAGAGGAGGGGGAGAAGGGGGAGGGGGAGAAGGATAAGGAGGTGAGGAGGATGAGGAGGAGGAGAGGAGGAGGAGGAGGAGGAGGAAGAGGAGGAGGAGGAGGAGGAGGAGGAGGAGGGGGAGAGGAGGAGGAGGAGGAGGAGGGGAGGAGGAGGGAGGAGGATAAGGAGGAGGAGGAGGAGGAGGAGGAGGAAAAGCAGGAGGACGAGTAGCATGGGTTACCTAGAAAGTCGCTCATCCTTACGACGCGTGTCGACTGCATGGGTGGCGCCCTCGGGCTCCTCGCCCGCGGCCCTCGCCTCCAGCTCCCTCAGCCGCGCGCGCGCGGGGCTCTCCTGCGGCGCCTCCTCCCCAAGAGCGAGCCGCGTGCCAGATCGGAAGCCGAGCGAGCCCGGCTTCCCCCGACACAAGCACGGGAGAACTGCTGCGTGGTGCGGAGGAGGAGGAGGAGGAGGAGGAGGAGGAGGAGGAGGAGGAGGAGGAGGGGGAGGAGGAGGAGGAGGATGAGGAGGGGGAGGAGGAGGAGGAGGAGGGAAGGAGGAGGAGGAGGAGGTGGAGGGGGAGGAGGAGGAGGAGGAGGAGGAGGAGGAAGAGAAAGTTCCAGGAGCACTGCGAGTCAACAAAACAAAACAACATAACAAAAACATAACTCGGCTTCCAAAGCACCTCGCATTTTATTTTCCAATGAGACGTCGAACTCGACGTCCCAGGAAACGCAGCTCTCTCTCCCCAGACCCCCGACGAGATGACTTTTTCATAACGCCGACCCTGGGAGGCCTCGACCCACTCCCCGGGACCGGTTTTGCATCCTGAGTCGTTTTTTTCACGGCCCCGAGGCCCGGCAAGGGTCTCCCGAGGCCGAACATATGATCAGAACCTCCCGTCATGATTTGTTCATTGCCCGAGGGTGGGACGCACACACTGACATACGAGTACTGTATGTCCTTCTTGGAGGCGCGCGCCCGACCCGAACACGCCGTATGCCCATGCTTCCTGGCCGAGCCGCTTCCCGAGCGGTGCGGCCGGGAAGCGCCCGCCACGACGCACGCACTGCGGGCTCTCTCGGTGCGCGCGCCGCCCCTGGCGGGGGGGCGACGCGCACACAGTAGAAACATGTTGGGGTGACTGGAGCAGGCACCGACCGTCCCGGCATTC